AGCGGGGCAAGCTCCGAAAGAAGCTCCTGTCGCTCGCGGGCGAACGAGCGCCGGGGCTGCGCCGAGCTGGCCGTCACCCGAGAGCAACGGCGCCCTGCAAGAGCTGTCCCAGCAACGTTGCCGCCTTCCAGGAGCTCGTCCCAGCCGAGCACCTCGGTCCCTGGAAAACCAGGAGGCTCTTAACGCAAGTGAAGAGTTGAGCAGCAAGGCGCGAGGGGAAGAACGGGCGTTTGGTTCGCGAGTCGACGGCGGTGAAAAGGGAAAGGAGCGTCCAGACGGGGCCCCCGCTAGGACGGCGGCATCGAACAGCCGCGAAGGGCTGGGGGAGACGGAGAAACCGGACGAGGGAACGGAAAGGAGACAAAGCCCTATGGAGGCTGTGGCGCTCTCTCTTGCTCGAGGGGGGACCCTGCGACGGCGGGCACAACGCTCGCCTCTGTCGCCTGTCTGCGACGGCCCAGCACCTCCTCGAAGGCTGGGAAATCCTGGGGGTGGGGAGGAAGCTGATGAGACAGCGTCACGTTGCAGCCCACCGCAGGCACGCATGTTCAAAGCACCGTCAGGAAACGCTCCAGGAGACGTCTGAGTGTTAGCAGTCGCCGAGGACCCCCTTGTTCCCAAGCTCTCCTCGGGCAGGGAGGGTCCTGCCCTACAGCACTGGCCAGGCTTTGGATAACCAGGGCCCAGCTCGCTGCAGCATGCAGAGCAATGCCAGAGCCGTGGTGCAATGCCAGAGCCACGGTGCAATCCCACAGCCAGAGCTGTTGTGCAATGCCAGAGCCACAGTGCAATGCCAGAGCTGTGGTTCAATGCCAGAGCCACGGTGCGATGCCAGAGCCATGATGCAATGCCAGAGCTGCGGTGCAATGCCAGAGCCGCGGTGCAATCCCACAGCTACGGTGCAATGCCAGAGCCGTGGTGCAATGCCAGAGCCACGGTGCAATCCCACAGCCAGAGCTGTTGTGCAATGCCAGAGCCACAGTGCAATGCCAGAGCTGTGGTTCAATGCCAGAGCCACGGTGCAATGCCAGAGCCATGATGCAATGCCAGAGCTGCGGTGCAATGACAGA